CTGTGTGGACGATGTCCCTCTTGGAGTTACTCGTGGCAGATTGAGTGGGAGGCAAAGTGCCTCTGAAGTCACTTTCACTGTATTGAAATCTCTCCTATTGTTCTCTGTCCAGTTGGTCTGTACAAAGCCAATGCCACAAAGCTTCAGAGGGCGGCAAATCATTCATTCTACATACACAGACACACAAATGCCAGAGGCTGTTAGACAGCATGCATTTTCATCATCTATTGACTGCTGTTTTTTCAAATGTGCTTACATATTTTATTCACTCTTTTCTGGTTTATTATCTTATAGTGTAAACATTTTAAATAAACACTAAGGCCAGCAGGATATGGGCTTATACTGGGAGCTTAATGAAATGCCTTGGTGAGTCAACTAAGTTCATCACTGGGAGTAGGAAGTTGAATTTCCCCAGCCAACATTACACTACATAACATTATACTTATTTTAAATTGGCTAAATAAACATTATACAAGCTCTACATTTTAAAACCTTGATTAACTGTTTCATAGAGCTTAATGTAATTTCTGATTGATAAAAGAAAGCAGAATGCTCTGATGTCAGTGGTTAACTGTTAATCAGTTTGATGAGGCATGCTAAATAAAGCTCAGTGTGGAACCATTTCCTACTACTAGCTATACTATGCTGTATCACAGTAAGCAAGCACCCGGCTTCCATTTTTGAGAATGGTTTGCAGTGTTGCTGCTATACAACAATCAGTGTGGTAGAAGACGTAATGTTAGTTCGGTCCCTCAAGCCCGAATACGTTATGCCATCAAGCTGCTGTGTAACTTAAATGTACTGAAAAACATTCTGAGGTGAATAATGACGAGCTGAAAGTCAAGCTTGCTCTGACTCCCAACTGCTGTACCAACAGCTCTCACACACAAACACAAGCTAACATTGCATCACCACTAACTAACTTCATCACTGCTGAATGGGAGATAAACACTTATTATGCTCCTCACTCAGAGTCTCTCCGTCTGGTACACATCAGACAACCTTGGTGAGACACTAACTAGTGCAGTGGAGACATGAGGCCTCTATGGCGCGCCCTCTATTTCTTAAAAATGAACTGTTTTAATGGGTGCTGTGCTATAAAAGGCTAAATTGATCATTAATCATAAATTAGTCCCTAGCTCTGACACAATACAAACTAAGATATGTTTTTGATATTACACAATTTTTTAACCCCATTGTTTTCTTTGTGGCTGCACACCCCCACAGGTGCTTTAAACCACTGTGGTTGAATGGACCTCTGCTCTGGTTGAAGCTGGGTGGAGCTATGCTTGGAATTACATGATGCACAAAACCAAAAATGGGCCGTTAAAGATGAATAAATGCTACAGGCCAATGATCAGATTTCTCCCCTAATCTCAAGCCTTTTTTTGAAGAGTGGATTTCTTATTTGAACTGCAGTAGTGATAGAAGACGTTGTTTCCTGACTTGATAGACCTGACAGACAAATTGGAGCTTTTCCTGACAGCACAAATGTGACTGAATTTAACAAATATAAAATCAATTTTAAGTAATAGAAACTGGCTTATTTATCTGTCTAGAGGCTACTTTCTTCTAGTACTCACTCCATTCAATGATCTCTCCTTTCATTCAGCCACTCTGTTGTTCGCATATTCTTGTAAAAAGCAGATTAGAAACCTGGTTACCTGTACACATGACCAAGAAGGTTTCTCTAATCCCCGGCTGATTATGAAAAGTTTCTGCATTTACATGACATTTAAGAAAACGTGATCTTAAAGCAGACATGTTGACTTTTCTAAGGTGTAAGTAATAAAGTTGACTGCAATCCATTTAGGTCAAACAGTTTCCAGGCCCTTGTATTGTGTACGCTGGCTGCCCTGGACACTTAATGGAACTGAGCCATTATTAGCGTCATTAATTACACCAGTGCTTTCGCTGCTATAAAAGGCAAAATATCTGCAATGAAAAAGGTCTACTAGGCCTCCTTAATGCTGGTTGTTGCTGAAGATATCGTGTGTGGCTGCTCACAATGAGAACTGTACTTAAACCTTGCACTGCAATGTCTGCAAGGAACAAATGAAGTTGGAATCAAACTGAAATGGACACATTCCTAAGCTGTGTGCAGTCTTTCCTAGAGTTAGATGCATAGTGAGCACAAGTCACGCTACAATACTGCAGCCAGTTATGATTCAGAAGATACATGCATGCCAGCTCATTAACGATTAAATGCGAGGGTCATGGCTTCGAGGTAAATCTGCTTTAGTTTCCCCTCCGGTCATTTGGCTGGACGCTGCACATTTAAAGGTGAAGCTGAGATTTCATGGGTCATTCATAATGCAACAGGGCAAGAAACGCTCTGCCCTGCTGGATGAATGTGTCAGCATGAGGGGGGAGGTAGAATCTGTACAAAAATGTGTGCACGGGAGGCGGTGTGTGGGTAAATGTCCATGCATTAGGGCCATCCTGTGCCAATGTGCTGCCTCAGGCAAAATCGTTAATTATAGCCAGAAACCTGAGTTTATAATGAGGCAGACATTTCCTGTCATTTTAAATTGCTCGCTTTCTTTAGATGGAATGAAGTCAGGAAGGTTTGCTTTTGCACATACAATATCCATAATAAATGACAGTCTGCTGCTGCACTGAAACATATGTGTGTGTATTTGTCCAGTAGAAATGTTAGATGGTACTCAATTAAGTTACCCTGCAGGGCTAGTGAAAACATAATAGAAAAGTGGAGTTCACAACTGTTTCAGAGTGACTGCAGAGCTCGGGGTCCTAGTGCCTGCTAGTTGCTGTGTTGTGTGTGAGAGAGAGAAAGAAAAAACAAGAAGGTTGGTTGACTCGGCCTAGAGCTCCAAACCACACTCCTTTCATTTTCAAAATCTAAGGGAGTGTGTGGGGGCACTTCATACACACTCAGTCACTCCAGTCAGTTAAAGCTGCAGTAGGAACCTGTAATAAAAATAACTTTTTTGCCATTTTGGCTGAAACTTTCACTATATCCTGACAGTAGAACACGAGACAGATAATCTGTGGAAAAATCAGCTTCCTCTGGTTCCTCCTAGTGCTCCTGGGAATAAGACTCAACAATCAACGATCTTGGCCACCAACCCAAAACGTCTTTCTATCGTTCTCGGCTTGGTTTTCATTCAGGCCTGGTGGATTCTTCCAAATGCCATTAGGAGCACTAGGAGCCAGAGAAACCTTTTTTCACAGATTATCTGTCTCATGTACTACTGTTAGGATATAGTGAAAGTTTCAGTAAATATATTTTTTTAAATCACCTACTGCACCTTTAAAGCATGGCTACCCCTCTATTTTTCTTTCTCCCTGCACACAGACGTAGACGTGGAGCAAAGGAACAGGAAAGCACAGCTGAGAACACAATGAGCGGCAGCAGGACAGCAGTCCCTGGTGTTTAACATACAAAGACTGACTATACTGCTGGTCTGGAGGGGTTTATGTGCCCAGCGCTGAATTCCAATGTGGGCCCCGTAACTGAAGAACAGACCTGACATCTGCAGAGGACTGGAAGGTTATGTCTCAAACAAATCTTACAAACTTAAAAAGGAAAGGTAGCAGTGAATGTGCCACACTTTAATGTATAAAAGTAACTCTGAAACATCTACACGTGGACCAATCTGTCACATTCGTTGAATGTAATGTGCAACAACAACTTAAATCAACTTAGTGTACTTTTGTTCCTACTGAAGGGTGTAGTGGGGATGTAGACTAAGCGGCTATTTAGTCAGAAATGTCCAAAATAGATAAACGTGAGAAGAAAAGGAGAAAAGAGAAGAATGGGCAGAGAGTTTCCCTCTTGGTTTCTATGTGGCAGCTCAGACCAGGGGCCTGTCTGCTCTGCATATGGAACCAATTTGAAATGTGAGACTGCAGAGACTGCCTGAAAGACAGACAATCACCCGACAGAAGATAGGAAAACGCTATTTTGACTTGCCAGCCGAGCTATTTTCGAAGTTTACCTCTTTAGTAAACATATGCAAATATGTCTGGCGACACAGTTGTTTGTGCTCTCCCTATTATCTCCATTATGTCTGTACTGCATTTCCTTTCAGTTGTTGCCTTTCCATCTATTTCAATTTTACATCTGAGATGACTAAACTACAAAGATTGATTGATTGATTGATTGATAGATTGATAGACAGAGTGGGGCTGAAAGTATTTTAATTGCCAATTAATCTGCAAACTATGTTCTCAAAACATCTGACAATTTACCAGAACTACTTCCCACAGTCTTCAAATTGTTTATTTTGTCCGACCAACAGTCCAAATCCCAACGATGCAAATAAGAAATGTTTGGTAGTTTGCAGTACAATTTGCAAATGTACAATTTTACTGCAACTGTTTATTATTAATATTTTTAATGTTCTTTTTTGATGAATTTAGATTATTTTTTTTTATCCATTTGTAACTTCCATTTACGACCTTTTTGCTTTTTTGTTTTTTGGTGTTTTGGGTTAACAGAAAATATAACTAGGAAAGATGTTTCCTTGTATACTTTTACACAGTCATTTAATAAATAAACCTTGGAAGAAAAATAAGAAAATAAATAAATCAAAAACAAAACAAATGTTGAATGCCCCTTTTCCTAATGCTAGACTACACCAAATGCTATAGGCTATAAAACAGCTGCATTCTGTCCTGTTATAGTATTTGTTGACTGATCATGTCCGCAGTTTGAATGTGGTTTTTGGCTTTTAGGAAGATGCAGTGGGCTTCCAGCAAAACCAAATTGTTTCAAAGTAAAAGCTTTGAGAAAAGTCTGAAAAATGAATACAATTTTGTATAGGGCTTTTTCTTCTTCCCTACCAACAATAACACTGAGAACAACTGAGCCAGCATTTAAGCTGCTGGTGACAACAACTGACACTCTTAAAGCCATAACTGAACTCGCATCTGCAGGTCCAGGATCTGCCTACTCAGCAGAGCCCAAACTTCGGTGTGTTCCGTTTAGTTTGAGTCGGCTGGAGGGGAAACGTTAGCACGAACAGGAGTCTTACCATGGTTCATATCCCCGCTCGAGAGCATGCCACTCCAGCCTCTTTAAAGTCATTTATCGCTGAGACATCCGTCCCGAGGTCGGTCGATCTCCGCACGAGCACTGGACAGCCGGTGGTCCTGAAGTTGCAGCCGCGCGCGACTCACTCAGTCACTTTACTTTGAAAAACCTCTCCACAGTTAACTAAACGCAGTTTGCTTTGTTTAAAAAGTTGCATACAGTACAGGTCACATCACCATACGTTCACTTCCTTCACTGCAAACTAAACATTGATCGACATGCTGTCGCGAGCCCAGCCTCCCCCGGGGGAACGCGCTGCTCCACGCGAGCGTCTGGGAAAGCTGATTTCAAAGTAAAAGCCCCTGTGTTAAAGGAGGAACTCAGACTGCTTGGAGTGAAATATGAGAAGAGTCTTCCCCCTCCACAAAATAATGTATGGAAGTCCATTTCCGCCAATGTGACGGAAAAAAGGATTCTCTAAGTCAATTATCATAAGAAACTTTCTCAAAATACTGAGAGACTTTTTCAGTATTTTGACTTAGTATCTTAAAATAATGACTTATAATGAGTATCACACAGTCATTATTTTGAGATACTAAGTCAATATACTGAAAAATAATCTTTTTTCCCTGTTACATTGGTGGAAATGGGCTTCCATAATGACGTCTCTCCCTGCTGCCAGAAAACTCAAGACAGACCCTGACACAGGGAATAACCCAGACTATATTGCCTCGAAATGGAAAACATAGCTTTACATATTTTATGGAAATGTTTGGAAGGGGAAATCAAATTCACACGCATACAAACATCTTTTCCCAGCCACATGGGAAATCAAATAAGTTATTTTTAAAGTGGAAAGAAATCATAATGATATGTAGCTAAAGGTTGTTTGGCTACCATATCTAAAAAAGCACATGACATGAGATAAATGAAGTGTCACTGCCATATCCCTGACCTCTACTGGTGACGGTATGACTCGCTGTCACCTATCATAGGTTACATAGAGCATGCATGTATAATGATATCTGAATAATAACTTAGTAGGTACACATTTCATATTTACTAACATATCCACATACTTAACAGATTTCATAACAGTCATAAGCTTGTATTGTCTGTTTGACTCATATGTCCTGCTGCTTTTTCTGCTTTTTTTCATACACACTAATAATGATGTAAGCAGGGCCTGAAATGGGTCAGTACTCAACGGAACTGAGTACCGGCACTTCAGATTTTTGTCCACAAGAGTACCCTTACTTCTTATTGAGTACCGCCACCTCTGGTGAGCATGGTCGTAACCGTCACCGAGGTCAAGACCTCAGTATTTTTTCCCAGGGGCATATTTCCTTTAATGCCTTGACTGGTTAAAGGTTAATGAGGGTTTATTATTAATAATAACAATATAGCTTTTTTAAATTCTATTTTAGCTCCCTATATCAAGTTATTATCAATAGCTTTAATGTCCTAGAGAAACTTAAAGTATTATATACTAATATCATTAACTGATGAGAGACAGTTCAGTTCATCAGCAGGACCAGATAATGACAGTATCTTATGACCTCTGCCACAAGCTGTGCACCCCATACTGCACTCTCGTAGAAGGTTAAGGGTGCCCTCTTGTGTTCAACAAGGCTATCTGAACTTTTGGCTTTTCTATGTCTGTGTACACTATCATGTGTTTGTCCTAAGCCCAGTAGATGCTGACATAATCAGCACAAATAATAATTTCCTAACTCATTCTAAGCTGGTTTTGAGTATGTTGTGCATTTATACAGGAAAAGTGAAAATAATCAATTAAGGTGTCTGTATGCATAGTAAATTCACTTGAGTGCACAATGAAAATAGAGAGACTAGTCATAACTGTTGGTGAAACTGTGGAAGCCCATTTCTGCCAGTAAAGAAAAAAACAAAGGAAATGTAAGGACTGTCACAATTATGAGATAGTGTGTCAAAATTATGACATTTTCTACGTCACAACTTTAAGATAGTTAAACATGATTATAAAAGTATAAAACTTGGACTTACGACCAGACCGTCTGTATGAGTGCATAGAGAATTTGCAGACTTTACTACATTAAAATATTGGATACTATTTATACTTTTCATTACATTTTTATTTTCTTTGCATTTTTTTCCTGGCAGAAATTGGCCTCTATAGGAAACAGCTCCAGGAAGTTCTTGGAAAACAATACTGCATATATAACAGGAAAAAACATTTTGCTTTTTCTTTCTCTGTGAAGTTTCCATGCGTCTTGTAACACTTCCTTAGTACAACATGGAAATACATTCACTCCTCAAATACTTTTTTTCTAAAATATTTTAATGCAAGATAAATGATTGAGACAGGAATACATGACAAGGCAAAATAGACAATGACAGCTACTGGGGTGAAAAATAACTAAACAAAAAAATAATAATAATCATCATAAAAATAAAAAAATAAGAAAGGCACAAAACAAGAAAAAGTACATAACTAAATCAATACAGGCAAGTAGAAGTGCAGATAAGTCATTCTTTGAATACTAACTGCAAAAGAAGTACACTAGGAAAATGAGTATGTATTCCTACACAGTATGTACAGTAGTACGGTAGACCCTCAGCCTGCTGTCAGATGTGTCGAAGGACGAATCCCTGTAGGTGGCGATGTTGGTCTGTTTTTTAAATTAAAAAAATCTCAACTCCCCTGAATGCAATTACTCACATGTTTTTTGATATCTTACGACTAAACACTGATACAATCCAGATCCAAGAATATAATGCAACTTGTGGGGCTAGAGACCTGCCAGTGACAGACTGCAGCCACCTGTGCCTCCATGAACCTACTTACTACTCTTTTACTGTTCTACATATCCTTTAACAACAGTTCAGAAGAGTTGTTTTGCATCATATGCATGGCCTGTCTTGGTAAAAGAAGTATAGTTGAACAGTTGGACTTCTGTTAAAGTTCCTTTGATGTTATCAGTTTCATACTTTTTATAATCACAGCATATTTTGCATGTTCAAAAGAGCACCATAGAAGAAGAAGTTCCTGACTCAAACCTGTCCGAAAACAATTTCAATTTTCATGTGTGTGATCAGTACAAAAAAAGATACGGTGAGAATTCTACCCCTGGTGTGTGGAGAAATGGAGAAAGAGGGAAAGGAATAATGTAGTGTGTGTTTGTGTGTGTGTGTGTGTGTGTGTGTGTGTGTGTGTGTGTGTGTGTGTGTGTGTGTGTGTGTGTGTGTGTGTGTGTGTGTGTGTGTGTGTGTGTGTGTGTGTGTGTGTGTAAGAAACAAAGTGATCTGCTTCATCTGGTCTCTGACCTTTCTGCCTCTCTGCCGCCCACTCACTTATTCCTAATGTTCAGGACTACTGTCTCACTGTACAATCAGCTGCTTCATCTGACTCTGCTGACCTCTGACCCCTCACCCGACCCCCAGGCCACACGACCCCTACGGCTCACACTGTATGACATTTCAGCTGCATAAAAGATCTGCGTAACAGGACGCTCTGTGTGTGTGTGTGTGTGTGTGTGTGTGTGTGTGTGTGTGTGTAGAAAACACAAGCAGAGATTTTTGTGCAGCAGAGAGCATGTCCAATAAAGTATTTGAGTGACTGCATGTACAGTACATAATGTGTGCTCATTTGTACTGCATCATTCCATTCTGTTACACTGCACAGGCTTTATGGAAGAGAATATTTCCAAACCACAGAGAGGCAGATAGAGATATTTCTCTGCCACACAGTGAGAGCTTTGTTCCCTGGCAGCATTCCTCTGGCTTTACACTACTGTACATTATCAGCAGTTTGGAACCCCACCATCATTCAAACTACATTCATTTATATTGCACTGTACTCAGAGCATTCCAAGTAAAGGGAAGAGTGAACATCCAATCTGCTGTCTTCCCTGATGTGTTCTGTAAAGTCTGTAGCTGAGAGGGAAAATGTGGTGAAGCAGAGTTGTGCTGTCCCTTTTTCTTCCCACTAATGACTGTTCTGTGTGAAACCCAGAAATCTTTAACCTGTGAGAAACACATCTTCTTTGTCAACAGTGCTGCGGTTATGTAACCCTCTTGTTGCAGGATCCACAGCTGGTCAGGGCAAGTTTCTGTTAAATCTGCAGAAACTCCCAAAGCTCGCTGTTGGAGACACGCACCTTAAAACCTACAAGACCATGAGTCACAGGCGGTCAGAGATAACAAATGGGGCGTTGTTTCACAAACACACATTTGTACCATTATCAGATAAGTTCCCTTATACTTGTATTCAGTGGGGGTAAAGATAATTTAATGCTTTGATAGCTCTGGGGAAACCCCAGCCAAGATTTTTACAACCATGACAGTCTGTTCACACACTCTTTTTGTTCAGCTGTCACTACTCTCCTTTTTCATTTCTGCTGGCCCGCTCTTTTAGTCATGTCTCAGCCTTTTTGTTATGTGTTCTTTTGTAGTGCTGAGTCCCTCTGAACCAGTGGTGAACTATAACTAAGAACTTGTAGTACTGCACTTGAGTACATTCTTGAGGTACCTGTATTTTACTAAAAACCCCCCTCCAGTCAGAAATCAGTGTTTCTTCTTGTTCCTGCAGTGTGCTGTTTGAATGATGTATATGCAGAGTTTGACTCTAGAAGGATGTTTTGCTGAAAGTGGAAAGTTTCTCTGTACCCAATGAAAATCTGATTTTTAGGGGTGTTCTGGCATCTGAGAGCAGCTCCAGGTATAAGTACAGACAGGTAGCCCATCAGACTGTTGTTGGAAATATTCTTTTGTTGAACTGTGGGTGCTAGAGAAGATGGGCAACTAGTGATGTAAGAAGGAGTTGTATACTTGTGTGTGTGCGTTTGCAGGAAAGAATAACTAGACTGTTGTGTCTGTTTGTGTGCTGAGGGGACTCATGGTGGCAGCGAGACCTGCTGCATACATTGATCTTGTATATATATATATATATATATATATATATATAGTTATATATATGTATATATTTATATTTTTTGTGCTGAATGTTGTATATATATATATGTTGTTTGTATAATATGTCGTTTGTATATCTGGAGTGTTGTAACTAAAATAATTTCCCCCTGGGATTATTAAAGTATTCCTGATTCTGATTCTGATTCTGATGCATAAAGATATAGCTGAGTCATGGTGTCCTGTCCTTTGTCTATGGAGTCTGGCAAACTATAGCAATATTAGGGCTGCTTCTTGATAAACACACGACCTGTAAAGACTATTTTGGTGAGTTTATTACTATTTTATTAACTATTAAAGTTTTATTTTTCCCATTGTTTTAAAAAACTTTACCTTTTGATACTTTAAAGATGGAAGAATGACTCAAATAAACAGATCAAATGACTTTGTTTAACAGGAAAGCTGTTGTTAAAT